GCAGTGTGCTGCGCTGTGCTACGCAGGCGTGCTAAAGTGCTGTAACCACGCTCTTCAATACCCTGCACTTTCTTTGTGCTCCTCGCACTCCTTCTGATCTCTCCATTCCCTGCTTTGCCAGTAAATCCCCTGCCTCGCCTCCATGCATAGCGCTGATTCAGTGACACAAGGAAGTAAGGTGAACAATTGTAGTTGTTTGTCGGTTGGTGGTTTTTTTTCATTGGGAAGATCACATCAACCTACCAGTCTATTTAAGATATTTTGGAAGGGGAGTTTTCTTTCCTCAGTTTGCTTTCTGCCGTTATCATTGTAAATGGACTGCGATTTATGTTGTTATTTAAACTTCAAGTGATTTTTCTTACTGATGCATATAATTATTGCTACATAGCTCAGCCTTATTTGCATGACAGAACAGCATACTGCCCTAGGCATTAAATATTAAGAATGTTAAGAATAACACATTTCTTTCCTCCATCTACTGTATTTTGTGCTGTCTACATTTTAGCTGCAGTAAGCAGACAGTCATAGTAGTAGTAGTCAACAGGATGTTGCCTTCTTTTCTATGTTCATCTTCTGTATTTAGTATTCCTACTAGATAAATAGAAAGAAAAATGCAAATGCCCAGTTAAATGGAAGCTATGCTTTCACCATAGGAAAAACAAATTCAGTATAGGCAGAGGGTGAAAGGAATATAAATGATTATGCTTGATTTAGTCATTAAGTTATAATTATTGACTAGTTCAACTATTGTGCAAATAGGAAAGTCAGAAAACAGCAAAATACATTTCTGAATATGGCATAAGAACTTTTTTCTGATACCACGAGAGGAAATGTCATCCACAGGTAATTCTATTGGCCACGAATAATAATGTAGAAATTCTCTAACAGAGCTCTTGTTCAACCTTTTTGCCTTCAAGTCAGATGTTTTAAAAGAAAAGCCATTGTTTCCCACCATGAATGTACATAACGGCAGTTTGTGTGCTATCCTTGGGGCTGGAAAAGTTAAAATCTTCAATTTAAACATGTAAAAATGTTTACACTGCTGTTGATATCTTTTAGAAAATATGTTTTCAGTCTCTGCATTATCAAACAATGTGTTCCACCAGCGGCAGTCCATTAGTATTTGCAGTGCTGTAGGCTATGCTGTAGTGCTACCCACAGTTACACACAGGTATTAACAGCTTTCCTATTTTAGCTTTTTCCCTAAAAGAGCTTATTAGTTTGACAAGTGGTAACGTACCTACTCAGATGTACTAAGTTTAAAAATGAGTGAATATGTGAATACTGGGGCTTGCTCCCAAGTACCATGATAGCAGCTTGTAGCCTGGAAACTTGGATTACTGCAAACACACCAGTACCATACAAATAGATCCTGAAAACCTGAAGAATTTTTTCCATACACGATCTTGAGAAAACTGAGCAGAGAATAACTTGATTTAAAAATCCAGTGTATTGAAAGTAGTAAGATAATGCAGGAGAGCCACAGAAATTTGCTAGCTGTCTTACACAGCAGTTGTTTTTAACATCTTAGTGAAACCTCAGAGTACAACCAGAATACATCAAACAGTTGAGAAGAAAAAGCTAACACCTATGATAATTGTCGTCTTTTTTTTTTTTTTTTTTTTTTTCCCAGGAGACTCATTCTACATCCAACACCTCAGGAGTGTTATGTCTGTTTTCATGATTCAGTCACAGAAGCTGCTGTTGAACTGGCCTTTAAACTGTCCTTCGGCTTAGCTACGTAGATGAGCTTCCTGGACATTCAGCCATCCTGCGGGGCGTTGTCATCTCTTTAAAGTACTTCAATATAAAGAGAAATTAACTCAATTGTGGTGCTCACCCATGGCATACCTTGGAAATGCTTTTATTTAAAAAAAAAAAAAAACACCTACCTTGTGGTAATGACACAGGTAAAACTTCAGTGATAATTCTAATGACCTCATCAATTGAATACTTAAAAAGATTTCAGAGAACCAAAGTTATCTTTATATATTGCCCAATTATTTAGCCTGATCATAGCTTTATTATATGAAAACATCACATAATTTGTACGTTCACTGCTGTTCAGTGTATAATATGCAATGTAAGAGGATAAGCTGATATCCTCGAAGTACTCTCTGAATATCTGGCAATTGGTGATGGAGGGGGAAAAAAAAAAGTATCCAGTTAATTAAAATTTTGTGCCTCTAAGGGCATGGAAAATACTGAATGTTTTCAGTAACACTGTTAATCAAAATGGAAAGAAATCTTTTAGCCAATTCATGGCACTTAGCCACACAAAACTAATGGCTTACTATTTTTGCCAGCATGGTCTCCTGCACACTTGAGCACTATAGTGTGGCTGATGTTTTACTTGACTTCATGGATTTAACAAATAGAAGTAATATTTATAGTCAAAACCACAATTTTGAAGGCACAAAAGAAGATGGGGGGCAGGGGAGTGGTGGTTTTAAGACCTATGCACGGACTCGGCTGATTTTATTTTATATTCATAATTTCATAATAAAAAAATGTATATTTGGCAAAGACCAGTAAAGCGTTATTCTATTTTTTTACTTAACATATTTTCTCTTTTGCTTATTTAAACAATATTTGTTTAGCAAGGTCTTCTACAATTTACAGCTAGATATTACAAAAAATGGTATAAGGCAAGAGAAGGCAGGATGTTTGCAAAATCAGAATTCTTCTGCAAAATTCAGCTTTCCTACAAATTGTTAAAATGTTTGTAATCTACAGACTAGCTGCTCCTAAAGCTTTTTCTACTAAAGTATAGTTTAAAATGTAAGGGTTTTGGGGGTCTTTTTACCCATAGCCAGCACATTTAGATCTGGTCATCTGCATAGCATTTCATCATGTTCCATGTCAACAGTGCTTTTTTTTTTTTTTTTCTGCTGTTTCTACTTGCTTTTCATGAGTGCTTTGCATAAAACGCATGACTGAGGTTGCATTTTAAACAATGGGATCAAAAAGTTTAAGTATTCAGGAAAGTAAATTCAGTTCCATAGGCTCTTATGATCAAAGCTTTAGCTCTTGTTTTCACTAGTAAATGACACTGTTTAGAGTAGATCTCAAATAGTCAATCAAATGCTTACAACGGACCGATCTCACAGGGTGATTCACGGCTTGTCTTGAATCACTCAACAGTTGCTTTAATTCCAAGCAGTAGAAGTCTTAGGCCTGAAGTTTAGGCACATGATTGCAGGTTTTGTTACTCGGATGTCTCTACAATTTATGGTTCCTAAAAGATGAGAGAGAGTATTTCAGTTTGAGACGTACAAAGCTGAGTTATATCCATAGTGCTTTAGATTTGTTCCCCATCTGTAAATCCAGTAATGTGAGACTTACTCTGTTTGAAAAATAAAAATATCTAATAGTATGGATGACATCCGAACAGCACCTTTGAAAAGTCTAAAATACGTGGGGTTTGAATATTAAATTTCGTTGGAGATGGAAGAAGGAAGACAGAAAAGCAAGCAGTCTTTCCTGCACTGCTTTTAGCAGGTTTAACAGCTTTTACAGAACCTGTATGTGTGTTTGTGCACATAAGTGTGTATCTGTGTGGAAAAAGGTAATTTTGCCGATGTTTGTCTCTTGTTTCAGTCTTTTAAAGGCTGGGCTATATGGTTTGAATGCTAAAAAGGAAGATATTTGAATGCTTTGCAAAGAGGACAGCTAACTTTAATCTAGATCCTTGCGTTTAGTCAGACCTAGGTTACTCTGCTGCCGGTGTAGTGGGTCCAACTCAGTTGACTCAGCTCGGCCAAAACCACAACTGAGTCAACGCAGAAGAAACAGTGTGAATACATAGATGTGTGTGGAGAAGCAAGAACTGAAGGAAGGTGGGACTCCTTCAGTACCAATCAGCTATTTAGACCGGCTTGCTCCTTCACAAGAAACTACCTTAAACAGAATTAAGGGCATCCGAGTATGGCACACCTTTCAGACTCAAAGCAGTCTAGTTCAGCAACAAAACATTGCAAAGTTTGCATTAATTGTGTTGATACTACACTTGAAGAGATTTTTATTGGTTACTTTGTTAGTCAACTAAGCAGAGACTCTATTTTGCGGATTTTTAAGAGTATGTTTAAAAAGAGGCCTAAAGGATGACAGGATTTCATTTCCTACAGAACACAGATTTTTATCAGGTCTCTTTGGTACAAATCTTGTGTCTTTGTAACTTTCAGGATGATTAGAGTTGTGAATCAGTGTATAGAATTAATGTGAAGAGGAATAGATAGGGAGAAGCTACTAGAGGAGTTTAAAATGGTAGTATTAAGGTTCAAAAGAAATTAATTTCTTTTGCCTTTAAATTGTTACTTATAAAAATTATTAGCAAAGCAAAATGGAGCACCAGGGTTAAAAGTACTAATTTCAAGGGAACGCGAGAAACAAAAGTTAGCATTTAAAACCATCAACAATTAAAAACATTTTGACTGAACAAATGCAGTGTTTCATGCCTTCAGTAGTCGTAAAGTCAGGAGATGTACAGGAGGTAAAGCAATTTATAAAAACAAAAATGCTATCAGAAATCTAGAAGGAACTGGTACTTCTGACCCGCAATGGAATGGGTGTAAGTAACATGACTAAAATTAATTTCCGTGTCATGTATGTTTATTAACTCGTAATTCAAAATGATCAACACCTAGCCTTTGTTACCTGTTTTTTTTATTCCCTAGTTCCTGGTGGGGGGAGAGGGGCCAGTTCCCACAGCTGACAGGAGCTTCTGGAAAGTTCCTGAGGCCTCTGGAAAGCTTGCTGCCTGCGGCTCGGGGAGGGCGGCACTCCCCGGAAGGGATCCACGTAGTAGAAGAAAATGGCGGGGTTTCTGGGCCCGGCCACAAGTAAAGGTGGAGGACAGAGGTAGCTCAGCTCCTGGGTACCCTGAGACCATCTACTTTTAACTTTTGAGGAAAAAGAAGCCCGTTAGGTGCCTGCCGGCCGTATGCTTTTCGGGAAGAAGAGGAAATGGCCGGGGTGCGGCCGGGGCGGTGCCATGTGCCATGGTGGCCCCGCAGGGCAAGGACCTGTATGAGCCCATCTCCTTCAGGAAGGACCTGCTGGCCGGCGGTGTGGTGGCCGCCATCTCCAAGATGGCGGTGGCACCTGTCGAGCAGGTGTTGCTGCAGGGGCAGGCCTCGTCCCAGCAGATCCAGGCGGACCAACAGTACAAGGGCATGGTGGACCGCTTCGTGCGCATCCACGGGGAGCAAGGTAGGGACCCTGCGCTGCTCTCCCGTCCCCGCACCTTGCCCGCTTTCTCCCAAACCTTGTCAAAACAAAAGCTTTTAGAAATGCCTTTGAAGTGATGGTGATGGAGCACCCATCATGGGCTGCGGGCATTCAAAGGAGTACAGACACTGGCGGAGGAGGTGGTGAGGGGTTACATCCCTGCAGGATTTTTTGCTTTATTTGGTAGCAGCAAAGTCACACTTGTTGGTATTTGTGGACAGCATAAAATACTCTTAATGATTTCCTTGCAATAGTTTTATAAAAGCAGCGCTTATTTGGCATCCTCGCATTAATGCATAGGAGAGCATGATCAAAAAAAGAAATGAAAACCCAGTTTTGAGTTTTCTTTGTCTTCAAGGAGTCTTCGCCTTCATCCACGGTACCACAAGAAAGTTAAGAAGTCTGAATGAAGAGCATAGAGATCACTTTGTTGTCACTGCTTAGCAAACTCGAACACGGCCAGCCGGTCCCATGGCTGTGAACATCCTCACATACGTTTCTTTTCTCATAGTCCACTAAGATTTGCTCCTGCACTACCTCCTCAGCTCCGTTTAGCTTCTTGTGCATTTATCTCAGTGTCCAAAGGGATCCTTTCTTTAATTTAGAAGAAGAATATAATTACAAAAGCGCTACCGTGTTTCTGATACCTGTATAAACCCTTTGTCATTGCTTTAATACAGAGTGTGAGCACCCCCTATGGAAGCAAAAATGCACAGGCAGGCTACTTCAGGAAAGCAATTCCTGCACAGTTCTCTGAAATATTCTTCTATTCTGCAGTTCCTGGACTGCAGTTTCCATAGGAATCGCTAGTCTTAGAAATGTATGAAGTAAGGAAGTGGAAAACCATACCTATTTCTCAGCATTATTGGTGTTTCACTTGCAGTTTTAGATTTTCTTGTGCTAACGCCAAATGCCTACATCTGTTGGTAAGTGTCAGAATAAATCCAGATTTACAATCGCAAATGCCTGAAAAATAAAGGACCTGAAAAGGACCGGTTTTGGCCTTTGTTACAGCTCATGCCAAAGTGGAAACAATAGAAGGAATATTGTATAACACACTTGGTGTAGTATAAACTTCGGAAATGTTATTTTAAAGATACATTTCTTTTTCCGTAGGATTTTTCAGCTTTTGTTGTGGCAATCTGGCAAATATTATATGGTCTTTCCCAACACAGGCTCTAAACTTTGCTTTTAAGGACAAATACAAACATATTCTCTTGCCCAAAGTGGATTAAAGAAAAACAGGTAAATAATCTCTTGCATATTAGTTCTGTTTAATAAACAAACTAGCTCTGGTCAAGACCTGTGCAATTCTTTCTCTCAGCGTGGTTGGTAATTAGTGGTGGTATACTGATAAGAATTTTTTAATGATCTTATTTTATAACAAGAGGAAGAGCGAGCACGGCTTACTGTGTAGCTTATTGTTGAAGGTAATGAAATCTGGTTTTTAATCTTTAATGATTAATGACTTTGTGAGGTGCATGTAAATAACCGCTTATAGCTGCAGTCAGAATTTTCAGTGTTTTGTTCTGGACGTAATTATTTTGGAGTTGATTCAAGTATTAAGATGGATATTAAAAATCTTGGCCTCAGACACCTATGTTTCTGGGCTTTGTCAAAAACCCCAATAACATTCTCACAGTTAAGACTGCACTAACATGTACTCTAGTCTCAAAAACCTCACTCACGGGAAATTACAGCTGCTTTTATTCTAATGTGTGAAGTTCCTGGGTTGTGTCCCTCAAGCAGGAGTCTCTCATTTTAATTTTTTTCCACCTTATTTTCTTGATAATCATTAGTATGTAAGTGTCAGAAAAACTTACAGATAGTAAAGTGTGTATTACTGCTGTAGATGAGTAAGGCTTCACACTGAAAACTGATTTCTTGCTATGTGTAAAGCTAGAAACATACTTATCAATAGTTAAAGCATTTTAAGAACTTAGTTTTGTTCAGTACCCCAGAAAAGGCACAGCTTTAGGTTATAGCTCAAAAAGGCAATTAAACTTTCAGGCTATGCTGCCTTACCTTGCAATTCTGTGTACTTGTGAAAAGTCCCTTAACTTGGATGCATTCTTGATAGACACAGAGGTCTACACCCATGGAATTCATTACAAGAAATCTTGGTCTTGGAATGTGAAATGTTGATATTGGCATTTGACAAATTACATAAAATTCATTCATATCAGCAGAACGGAAAATAACTGCTTCATATCTAATTTGTTTAATGTGAAAATAGCTGGAAAATCTGTTTTATTTGTGTCTGTCTTAGGTTATCTGTTTTAGGATTTCTTTGGTTAGGTTTTGATAATTTAAACAAAAATCCAATGTTCTGTGCTTTCTTTTGTTGACAGTTTTTTACTGCAGTGCCAGAAACTTTTCTTGCCACAGGCTTTTCTGGTGGTGCTGACCAGGAGGAATGCTGTCAGTCAGTAAAGTATGATTAATCTCCTTGTATTGCATGCAAGTTCTTAAGCAGTCCTTTTTCAATTACAGTCATTTTGTATGTAAAGAGTTTAAGGTTGCCGTTCTCTTTCTTTTCTTACAGTGGAAAAAATAAAACATGCAGGATGTAAATAACACAGTGTTCATAGTTCTTCAAATCTCCTTTCCGTCTCCTAGAAGTGTTTCCAGATGGCTTATATGAGCGTGTGACTCAAATTTTAGAAACATTCCATGAATAGCACTCAAGATTAATTTCTTTAGAAGTATAGTATTTAGCAAAGTAGCATATCCATTTTGGAAGCTCAGCGTCTTTGGATGCTTTCTTACATGTTTTGTGCAGGATAGGAAATGGGGAAGACAATATGGTTGCATGCATTAGTTTTTGCTTCGCTGGAGTATCTTTAAAAAAAAAAATAATTACTAAAACCTTTAGAATGTGAAGCACAAAGGAACTTCTGTTAAAGAAGACAGGCTGTATCTACGTGCCAGACACTTGGTATTGAAGCTAATATTGGCACAGTCAAGCATCTCCAGATTGCAGCTGCCCCCTCTCACGCTTGCCACTACAACTAGCAACCGCTCATGCAGCAACATGAGCTGGGGCAGGTTGCAAAGCCTTCTGTACAGCTAATAAAATATTAGGGCAGTTAAGCTATGCTGGACTCCATACTACTACAGCTACAGTGTTGCTGTTACTGAACCAGCAAATAAAAAAAGTGATTTTGGGGTACGTCTACATGGTCTGCATTTACCACACAAGATGTACCTGTGATGGCGAATGGCCGGGGAATCTTTACAAGTGGAAATTTTGAAATACCCCAGGATAGGTCTTACTCTGAGACTGGCATGTTTCTTTATTATTTTGTAAATAAGACGTTTTAGATAGATCTTACTCTTCATGCTTTAAAGTTTCATTTAATATCTACAACCAAGGTCAGTATTATAGTATTGTAATACTATATTTTCGTAACTGCATACAGCAATTTTTGTGTTTCAGTTCTGGAAATGGTTTTCGGCAAACCTGGCTGCTGGCGGAGCAGGAGGAGCAACAGCCACGTGTGTAGTGTGCCCGTTAGACTTCGCATGAACTCATTTAGCGGCTGATATTGGGAAAGGTAGTGCGATCTCTTAAAAGGCAGTTCCAGTTTTATCTGATGTGCCTCAAGTTATTTATATTTACTTCATTTTAGAGGTAGACCAATATTCAACAGTATTAGAATTCTTTCTGTTACTTAAAAATTTACCATTGCACAGTTACAAACTTAAAAGTATTAAGAAATGTAAGATCTTTATTGAAAAGGATAGGATGAAAGAGCGTGAAAGAGCATTCTTTGGAAATAGTGCTAGAGCATAGCTCTCAAAGTTTTTCATTATTTTTACATTCTGTATGGAAAAGTTTAACTGAATTTTGCCAACTTTGGATGTCAGAAACTAGAGGAATTTAATTTTTGCGAACCTATGGTTTTATGGGGTGTCATTTAAAGAGCTAATGACCATCCTTCTTCGAGATCAAGAATATCAACTGACGATTTTCAACAAAGATGTTGGGTAGTGTATGTCTCTAGATGTATGTTTCATCCATTCAAACAGATAAAATTCATTTCCCGAAAGCAGCAACTGGAAAGCTTTGCAGCAGAGAGAAAGAAATCTCTGCTTTCTGTATCGTTGTTGGCTTCCCTGATTTGCCTGCAATGGGACAAGTTCCCTCGCGTTACTGCCTGTGCTGTGCCGGGTTGTCCCAGGAATTGGCTGCTTGACTCTACCTATTGCTTTCTGTCTACTTGGCCCAAATTACTGTTTTCGTGATCCCTTCAGTATAAGAAGGTGCACAGCTTGAAGTTCTTCCTTCAAAGATCGGTTTATTGCTTGCTGTGTTTTCATCTGTGGAGAATCCTAAGAGCTGAGGTGTGGTTACCTGTGGAATGTGGAAACAGATGAAGAATCTACAGATATAAAAAGTGGGTTTTTTAACTTTGTCACAGCTTGTGGCTGGTGTTCCGCTATAGGGAAAAGCTGAAACGAGTAACGCTTCTGACAAATTTGAATGTGTGTGGAGGGAGTGAAAGCATGGTATTAGGGAGAAAAAATTCTTTTCAGAGAGAGCATAAGAGAATTCATACATAAGCATTCTGCCAAATAGAGGACAAAGTTAGAACGGTAGTTATTTGACCCGAAAGTGCTTCAGCAGCTGGATACCACTATCTGTTTGAATGAACTGTCTTCATCCATCCATGTATCCCAATTTCTTCTTCATGCTTCGCTCATAACAGGAGGAAACAATGATCTACTATGTTTTTCATATAACTTTGGTAATGTTAAATGTTTCAGTCATGCAGAGTAGTTTGTATTAAAGAGAAGGGCTTCTGTAGAGCATAACGATGTGCATAAATTTCTTTTATATTAGGTGCTGCTGAGCAACAGTTCCAGGGACTTGGTGACTGTATTATTAAAATTGCAAAGACAGACGGACCTCCTGGCCTGTACCGGGGTTTTGGCGTTTCAGTACAGGGAATCATTGGATACCCAGCCTCCTCTTTTGGATGTTGTGACGCCATTAAGGTAGCTTTTACAAATAAGAATGCACACGTTTTAAACCTTTATCATGGTATTTTAAATATCTATTATGAACTAATGAGGCTGTTAGTTACAGCTTTTGTCTTTACAGTTATTTGTGCTCAATAGAGTATATTACTGAAGAGCCAAGTCATTCTACAGTAGGATTAACAACAGAAATGATCAAAATTATACTTGATATCTTCTGGATTTGACATATATTTTACAGAATTTGTACAAGCTTCCATTTTTGTTTTATTTTGCAGGGATTATTGCGAAATCCAAAACAAACTCCATTCATTGTTTCCTTTTTCATTGTTCAAGTTGTGACTACTTGCTCAGGAACGCTGTCTTATCCTTTTAACACTGTCAGGAGACGCACGATGATGCAGGTACGGTCTAGCTTGCAATCCTTTTCTGAAAATTGCTTACTAGATTTTTGAAGTTTGATGTGCTAATTGAAGCGCTGTGTAGCCGTACAGCAGGTGAGACTCTCTTCAGAAAAAAAGTGAAAACATCTCCAGAGAGACAGGAAGAAAAATTAAATAATAGCATTGTAGGAGTCTGGTAAAAGTATGTTCAGTTCACGTCTTGGTGAGAGCTTTTAGTAGAAAGACAGGATCTGTTTTCTTTTTCCTACTCGGAAGCCAGGTATTTGGAGTAAGGCAGGTTTGTGCGTAGAATAATATCCTTTATTAGCCCAGCTAATGCAGTTAGAAAAATAATCTTTGTGGCACACAGCTGTTCTTCAGGTGTGAGGTAGAATCAGTTCCAAAGGTCGGAACAAGCTGAGAATTATTTCCCAGCATGCGATGGGTATGATAGTGTTTTATTAGCAATTAATGTTGGATCTTGTTGCTAGCTATTAGGTAATTTTACTAGGTACTACAGTAGCATTTGAAGTACATTTAATAATACAAATTCTTACTATGAAGATCATCCTCAAACACGAAATAAAAAAACCACAGAAATGCTCTCGAAAAAACAAGACCTTGTTGCCTGCATCCCTGAGGAAGTTTTGCCATCTGATAATAGAAAGGCGTTGTTAGTTCCAAAGAAGTGTCTCTACGTTTCGTTTCAGGAGCATCTTCTTTACTCTCAGTATTCCAGAAACGTTGGCATAGAACTTGGTTAGGTGCGTTCATAAAACCCTAGGAGATACTTAGATTCTAACGTAATGCCTGCATACCTCTGGCAATCCGTCCTAAATAACGGAAATCCTTGAAGCTTACAGCAGGCAAACGCCATTAGCACTACCGACTTCTTCCTTTCAGACTAAATATGATTTCACTGTCTTCAGATTCTGCTTTATCTGCTTAATCAGCAGTAGGCCTACAGTTAATGCTGTCTTTGTAAGTGCTGCGCTTCTTGAGGCTTTACCAAAAATTGCCTGTATTTCTGGTAATTAACTTACCACTAGGATAAAGAATAGTATCAAAATTATAAAAAACATAAATTACAATCATACGAAATAAGGTAATGGGTTTACTAGCACAAAAAGAGGATGAGAATGAGAGGACGTATATATGTTGTGGATGTACAAATATATTTCATGTGGTGTCCTTGTTTCATTCATGTAGTTTTGAAGCTTCAGGGACAAATAAAGCTGATTAGTATGATTTTTATCAATTTATCATGATGCTTATTTTGATCCAAGAGGAAGCCCTGAATTAAATATAGCACCTTTTAATTCTTCAGGTAAATTATATTTGCCAGATGGAATTACTTTCTGAAATAATGAGCGCAGTACAGTTACTGCTTTCAGCAAAGTTTATTACTGCTTAGCTGACAGAAATCACCATTACCAAATATCCTTTAATTTGCATATATGCATGTAGAGTCAAACCAAAATATTTTAAATGCTTTATAGCTATGTTACTATGGTTATTTATATTGATTTATGTGAATATTTATCACAGATGTATTTCCTGCATTTATTATGTTCAGAAAAGCTATGGTGATCTCATACCTTGATTCCTAACAGCAGATGTAACAAAATCTAACACTGTCTTCATTAGAAAATTCAAACGTCACTTTACTAGCTGCAGAGTATATCACAAAGGCCTCAAGTAGGCAAGATTATCTTTCTGCCATGATAGAGCCTAGAACCGTACCTTGATATTGCAGGTGGATTTGACTTAAGATGTAGCTAATTTAAGTCAAATCTTCAACATTAAGTACAAAAAACTAGTGTCTTCTTTCCAGTAGAATTTCATATAAAGATAGGGATTTTGGATTAATCTCTCCAAAGAAAGCGTACTTATTTTTTGCTAGTGAAGACAAAAACCAGTGTCAGTTCTTCATATAGTCCTCAAATCCTGAAGAGACTGCAGTTCCAAAACAGGAATTCTTTGACAGTTCACCAAGCATATCTACAAAAAACAGCTTTGTCAGAGCTGTGGTGTTACTCACGAGTATCTGAGAGATTTGCTGTTGTCATTATGCTGACTTCCACAGTGGGCAAGAGTATTTCCCAAGTGCTCTGCTGCGCAGAGAACGGCTACGCAACGTTCCTCTGGGCTGTCTCCGCTCCGCTGGTGAAATTTTCAAAACTTAAAGGAGTTGGCATGATTTTCAGTCATGCTGCACTTGGAAAAAGCTGAAGGGAGAGTTCAGTACTTCAGCTCTGACTTGTACAGAAACGGTCGTATGCGTGCATGTGAACGTTCACTGCTTGTCATCCTTTCTTCCCTCACCTGTAAGCACTTGAAGCAGGTTTTACTGAACACGGTGCTGAGGTCTCTAACTAACAAATCCTCCTTTTTGCTTTGTTTTCATTTGTCTAGCAAATTAATGCTCAGAAACAAGGTGGGCTAGCTGAAAACTGGACTGCGCTCTTTCTTAGCCCGCCTGTGTTTGTGCGTTATCATGCTAGTCAAGACCTTAACGTTTTTTAGAGGACTCTATTGATTACTAATGAACTGGAATCTACTTGGCATAAAAATGTTTCAGCGGTACTAAAGAAGGAAAAAAAAACCCGAGCTGTGGAAGTTTTAATAGCATTGAAACAATTCAGAAGCACCCTTAGGACTGGAGTGACCTCATTTAATACTTAAGCCTTCTACTTGCCCAGTAAAGCTTAAAAGAAGCATCAGAAGAAGGATCACTGCCTTTCTAAATTTAGCTATTGGAACCAGCTAAAAGAGCATTACATCAGATAAATATTTATTAGTTAAAAGATCACTCCTCTGCAGTAAGTGAAGCATTAGGAAAAAGTTACTTGGTGTTCTTCACTAAAGAAAGATAAATTTTGCTGGGCAACCAAGTTTCTTTCTCAGTGCAGTGCCATAATGATTTGTCCTTGTTATTTGTGTGCAGAGCAGGGAGACTGAACATCAAGATAAAGGGACCGTTGACTGCTTTATGAAAATATACGAGCGAGAGGGGCTTAATGCTTTCTTCCGTGGAGCATTCCCCAACACCCTTCGTGGAACAGGAGGAGCCTTAGTGCTTGTTCTCTATCACAAAATTAAGGACATTTTTAAGCTCGACGTTTGAGAGTTCAGGATCTGATTAAAATAGTGAGTGAACATCTGTTTTGCTTGTACAGTGTTCATGATAGAATTCTCATTGTTTGCATAGCGTATTTTTAGTTGAAATGTTATACAAACAGTACTTTTAAGAAATTATTTGGATATTTTTGTGACTAAGCATGTACTAAATTAATTTGTTTTCAGGGAATAAAGAGCACTGTTTTCATTTCATTCAAGAAATGAATCCAAGATAATACTTGCCTGTTGTTTAAGATTCTCAACGTTTCAGTTTTAGTCATACTAAATGTTATACATCTTGAATTTTAAATTACAGGATGTATTTCAATATATTTCGGTAAGAGCAGTTTCCCATGCCTGTCAGTAGAGCCCACTGTAAGTATAGGTACGTATCAGCCTGCTACGGCTTCTACATGAACCGCAGTAAAAAGAAAACTTCTTTCTAGCCTCTTGATGTGTTTTCATGGTATTTCAAAGCACAAGTTAAGACAACAAAGGAGTTTACTTTTTTTTTTTTAAATTGTCATTAAGACAGACAGCAATTCACTTTTCTCTCTGTGTCATCCCTCAAACAGCATTGAGCAGGTTGTAGTCTGGCTGACAGCATTTTAAGACAAAACATAGCCCAAAAATGTGGAGATCCAAGCACCCAGAGACTTAGAGCACTTAATACATTATTTCTTAGGGAAACTTAAAATGGCTGAGGATTCTTCTCAGTATTGAGAATGAATCTTAAAGTGTACATAAATGAGAAGACTCTTATTTTTATTTCTGAGGTAATAATTTT